CGGCACTCGTAAGTCTCGAATAACCAACATAACCTGTGTATTCTCCTCAGCAAACGCTGAGACGATAGAACACTGTGATATGCACAACCTCTGTATCATTCAGATTAGATGCATCGCTGCGGTGGCCTTCGTCATGTAAGTTCAGTTTCCCAAATTCGTCCTCCCCTGGAATGTGACATCAGAATTTGTTACTTATCATTAAGATAAACGTACAATTGGCATCACTCAAGTAACTCCCATCCATTGATAGGCCTTGCGACAAAGGAGCTTCATGCATCCGGTCCGCAAACACCATGCTTTGATCGGAAACAGCCTCATTCTCTAGCGTCTCATTGGATTGCCCAAGGCTTTGACATTCAGTCGCAGTGTCATCCGGATGTGCAATGTCTTGAGCACGTCCTGGGACTTCGCTAGAGATGACGGTCTCGGAGATATCCCCTGGGACACCGGATGCGGTCTGTTCTTCTTCGTGTATCTCGTCTGCTAGGGTGAGTGTTGCTCTCCAAAACCTGCATTCAGGGCTGATATACATACTTGGTTTGTGGCGACCTCTCGTATTCGTACAAGTCTCAAATTGGGAAGACAGTGAAAGCTGACCAGTCGCCGCCATCAAGGTCCCCTCCGTCAAGGACCCATCATTCTCCGGGATGCGAGTACTCTGCTCCCCAACATGTTCGCGCTGTTCAGTCAGAGGAGCTGCATCTTGTGGTCCTTCCGAAGATTCCCAGCCCGCTGATTAGAGGTAAAGTAAGGCAGATGAGCGAGAGCCGTGTCATACCTCCTCGATCCTCTCCTCCTTCAAGGACCGATGATGAGGACTGGCGTCGCATAACTTCCTCAGCAAAACCTGCTCGCGATGGCGCGGAATCGTTGGATGGCTTGACGTGAGGTATTTCGCCAACATCCTCGACGGGCCTTCCGAAGCCATAGCGTGGGGTGAGTAGTACCTTTCTCAAGACTGCCTTGGTAGGGCCAGCTGGCGGCCACTCGACATTGTTGGGCCACTTGCCGGGCTGTAATTGCACCAACTGAACGAGTTCTTCCTTTTTCAGCTTTTCACTACCGAACGCAAGATCAGCCAGACCCTCCAAATGTACGTCCCCCGGTCAAATTATGCTTACAGCTCTTTTCGATTATAGCGTATGTATGGCCGCTGGTCATCGACAGACATGTTGAAAGACTTGTATGCGGAAGGATAGACGTGGGTCGGTATCCTCAAGCTTACTGACTCCAATCGTGCGACTGCGTGTTCGGTGACAACTCTGCCGAATCTCGATCAGCCAAGTATCAGAAAATGTTCAACATCTGATTCCCATTCCCCAACGAATTGATCATTTATCGGATATAACCCTATGCCTGGGTGAAGAATCTCTATTTCTTTTTTCCGAGACGTATCTCCCCAGGGCTTTCCCTAAGGTGGTTAGCTGATGCTGCAACCAGGGCAGTTTGCCTGAGCCTTTTGCAGATTCGATTGTCCGGTGGTACTTGTCTCCGCCGACGTACTAAGCAACATCTTTTTCGGTGGACAAGGCCGAAGCCGAGATCATACCACGGTGCAGCTACCCTACTGTTTGGTCGCTATGTCCTATGATCCAAGTCGACGCACTTGCAATCTGCAGTGCCGAGTCTCTCCTCCTGTCTCCCGGTCCCAGTGATCTTCCCATTCGTCCCGCGATCCAACCATGTCTCAGTCAACAATTGGAACTCTTCAGTCCGGCCATTGCCCTGCCCTCGAGCTGGCGACAGGCCCCGATGATTACCTCATGGAGCTTGCTGTACAGGACGATTTTGAGGGAGAGATTGACTCCAATACCATGGATGCATGGCATGTTGCGGAAAGTGGGTTAGACGACGAAGAGTCAGATGACTCGGACTCAGACGAGTCTAGCGACGAAGACGGCGATAGCACTATGGGAGATCCCGACGATGAAGACAGTACTACGGACGACGGCGCAGACGAAGCTTGCATTACGGGCAACCGGAATGAGGACGAAGATGTCGATAAGCTGGTAGAGCGGCTGTCCAAAGGTGTCGCAGAAGGAACGGCTTCCGAATACCAGCGGTACAGTGGTTACCTGCATCTCTCGCCTTATCTGAGTTTACTCATGTCTTTCGCAGCATCATGCGGCAGTTCGCTGGCTGGCTCAAACAGAAACAACTTGTTCTAGACGAAACCACCGTTTTTACATCTGAAGTACCAGAGCCAATGCCGCGCTGGATTTGTATGTGGATGATAGACCGGTGTGTTTTTCCTCTTTGGATTCCCTCGCGCGCTGGAAAAATTGCGGCGAAGCTGCGACGACTGGTACTTGGACGGAACCTTCAAGCCATCGAATGTGACACGGAGAACCTTCAACTACGCCATGAAGATACGTGCTTCCATGACGTATGGTTTTGGGCGCTTTGGTCGACGTGGTACGTTGGTCTGGGATCAATCCCGGTCGCGTAATGGGAGATGGCGAGGAAATCCTTCAATCTCATATCAAGTAAGCTCGTATATGGCATCGCTGAAGAGGCGAAAAGTGGGTAACTTACGCATAGAAGGGTTTTCGACCATCTCATAAGGATTTTGTTCTATTGAACAGGTTCAGAACGGTGAAACGCCCACAAGCGCTCGTGCCATTACGCCGGAGATCATGGCGCAGCTTTACGAAGTCAATAATCTCTCTGCTCAGGCTGAAATCCTGGAGATCGATCGACGCTCGGGGAAGAAGAAGTCCCATGATCAGTGGGGCGGGGGACGACTACGGCGCTGTCTTCACTGCATGTATACGTTTGCCTTTTCCTGCCTCCTTCGTTTCGATGAAGTCCTAAACATCAAAGCCCATGATGTTATCCCCGATCCCAAGCATAAGCGTCTCATTTTGCGACTTTCACAGCGAAAGAATGCGCAGTTTGGGGGTACGTTCTTTTAGGCTGTCGTCACATGAAAATAGTTCGCTAATGTCTACTCAGACCTCGAACCCTTCTACTTATATATCTACCCTGAAGAGGACGCCCATCTATGTCCATATCGCGCTTATGCCGAATGGGTCCACGTATCCGGGATAACAAAAGGGTATCTCTTTCGTAATTTCAGGTCTCATGATAGAATATGTCGGACGAATACAAAAATGGTATGTACATTTTTGCGATGTTTGCCGCCTTACTTATCTGTGGCATAGCCCTCGCGCAGTTTCTTGGGGTATTTTCGTCACAATCTTCTCGACGTCAAGCGAGACCCTGTACCGTATGGGACGCATTCGTTCCGACGCGGAGGAACTCAGTGGCTGCACTGTGACAAACGGTGGGGTATTCGGAAAATCTGTGAGTGGGGTGGTTGGGCAACGACTCTCCCACCTACGATTGTCTTGCGATATCTCATTTCGTACGTCGATGACCCGAGGGAGCGTAGGGAGGACTTCATGGACTTTCGTCGTAAGCCTACTGTAGTTTGTCCTAACTGCGGGCGTAGTTGCCATTGCTCGTGGTAACGAGCTAATTACGACTTTCATCCTGTATACGATATTCCGCTCTCTATAAAATGACCGTTAACTCCATCGTGTATTCCCGAAGGATGGCAAGAGAGACGAGAACGACATCCTGCGTGTCCGGTTTAATTTATTCCGCTAAGGATTGATACGGGTATGGGGCACAGTCCATCCATTGGCAGTCGATACGTACATTCCCAGAGGCGGGCAGTAGATGCCAGAATATCTCATCTTCTGATAAGCCTCACCGCACTTCCTCTAGTCGGTGACATTGGAACAGAAATGGACGCGTCGCGAATGCATCACCGTCTGCGTAAAAAGTCAGAAACAAGTGAGGGATCACCGGATTCATCGGATCAGCATGGACGCCTGTCTGGACAAGATTCCTTGTATGTCCGCATTTCCCGGTCAGACAGGATCAATGGAACAGTTGATTTCGTCTTCGGAGGATGGAATAGGCATTTCGGTTCGGCTAGGAGTCCATCATCTCGTGATAATCGCAAAATTTATTACATGATGAGGATGCGAGCACACGATTATGAGGGCACACTTGGCAACACGCGTTCTCTCTGTGGCTTGCTATCATTCATTTGTCATGCATTTCAAAGGGTTTATTACAAGAGCCGTCACTCACAATGAATCAGTTGCAAAGGAGCCCACCGGAGACTGCTACCCTGAGGGCCGATGGTCTTATGGATATTCAACCAGATGCGATGCCGCAGCCTCCTCGCCGCCTCACAGGGGCCAGATGAACCGTCGGTAAACGGTCGGGCAACCGTCGGACAACGGTAATTTTTACGAAAAGAAGTGATTTCTGCAACGTTTTTTGCCCCTGTGGCCTGAATTGCATGGCTAAGTCGGCAACTCAGCATCCTACCATATGCACAGGTTGATTAGCTCGAATCTCGCATTATTAACCCTAACCTTGTCTTGAACCGCCCGCAGCTTCTTTGTCATCGCCGTTCAGTTGCCGTCAGCCAAATTGCCATCACTAGTATCGACAGTGTAGGTAAAGGCGCCTCTGCTCCGGCACGGACACGCAAGCCACCATGTGAGTCCCACAGATTGCCTTGAACGCCAGCATGCGAATCGGACACTCCAAACCAAATATAGATAGCACGAATTTCAAGGTCTTCGGACTTCCTTTCGTGAGGAATTCCTCATCACCCATTTACAACCGGTAGAGCTAACTGAATATCTAGGTGCGGACTGGTATACTCATATCCCGCGTGTAATCTGCAGCTACATTTTCATTGCTTACGTATATTTGTGTATTGTTACTCATCCGACAATTCCCGGGCCACATTATAGGGAGTGGAAACCCGCTTGCTTAAGACGTGTGAGTCATGATGGTCAGGCAGAGACGTCTCTGTTATCCAGCTAGCGTAGATTTCTTGTCGATGTATGTAGCCGCCACTACTCCCGGCCCTCGTGCGGCGGCACGGTTACTCGCGGGCTCGTCATTTACCCCCTCCAGCGGTGGTCTGACAAAGTGATAGCTTTTTTTTAATGAGCCATGCTGCACGAACTACTGTCAGTTCGCCGGTACCATAGCCAGACAGCTACCAGTCCCACGTGATGAGGGATGTTCTGCCACATTGAGACAGCGAGCAAACATATGTCAATAGCTGGGTAAAGCGAGCCATATCCATTTTTGTCTTTGATTATTCCGCCTTTCGCAAGTCTCTAATATTTCATTTGCACGCGGCCCTGTAGTCAATACCAACGCTCTGTCACCCCTCCTATTGCTTGGCGAATCTCAACGAACGCTCAGCAATGTCCACCATTCTTCCCACTCACAAGCTGCCTAATGGCGAATACGCAGTCGAGAGCATCGATCTGTAAGTTATGTGATCCAATGCCACATATCCTGAATTTTAACATAGGGAAGACCGACCCTCACATGTACCGACCTTACGCAGAGGATTAGGCAGTACAAGATTCCTATGCCCGTGCAGAGGAAGAAGATCAAATATATCCAAGCTCTGGAGAAATTCAGCCAGGAAAAGGCCGGGTGGAAAGTGTAAGTCGTCCTCGGTACCCAAGGACTACTAGTATGACCTTTATCCAGCCTCGATAGCCCACAAGAGGAAAAGCAGAGAAAGCGAACATTACATCCAACCCCGAAGCGAAAGGAAGCGTGGCAGATTAGACGCGAGAAACTCATGGTGGAACAGAGTAAGGAACCGATTAAGGGTACCAAGGACATGCGGACTGTTGAGCAAATCGAAAGCGTCGTAGAATGGGTAAGCCCCCTCATATGTGACTTACGCTTTTATTGATAGAACTTAGGCTAGAATGGCAGTAGAAGAAGAAAGAGCCGCCCGTGCAGCCCGTGTCTCCCGCGCCAATGCCCCCAATATGGGTCAGAATCGATGTGATCCTTCCTCGGTAACACCCAGGCTTCCCGACCGGTTTCACTCTCCTTCTTGTGTGGGTCCTAATTACAACGTCTTGTATACTCCCTGACTTTTACGAACAGACCTCTATCAGGTCCGGTACAGCAGCGCCGTGCCCTGGCTTGGGAGTGGAGAGCCAGCTGAACGTAGGAGAAGAATCGTCGTACAGTGATGCTCGTGACGCAGGAGGACATCGTGGAGCTGGAGAGTCCGCTGAGGGTGAACATGGGAAATACGCCTCAGGTATGGTGCTTGAGGTATCAAGGAACGCATTGATTTATGGAACTAAATTACCTTTACCAGAGCTATCTGAGTCCGAAATCACGAAGGCTGCCGCACCGCTTTGCAGGAGGATTCTCGAAACGGCCAAAGAGTTGGGGGATGTCTTTGCTTCCAGACTATCGACGGGGGCTCTCGGTCATGGATTCAGTACGCAGGTCTCTGATCTGGTACAGAACCTCGCTCCCGCTTGGACTGTGCCTCCAAGTGCATCTCATAATTGCCAGTCCTTGGAGCATACTGTCGATGATCGGCCTGACAGTGATCCTACCATGGATGTCCCTGGTGATACGACGTCTGATACAGCTACTTCACACCAAAGCACTCGCCAATATGAGGAAGAAGAATTTTTGACGCATGGGAATGCTGAACGAGGTGACTCGATGCTTCCGCCAGGCGCCATGTCCTCGCAGACGATGTCCATAGATGAAACTGAGCTGACCGGTGGTCACCCGCAGATACTTCGATCCAGTCCCACCGATGAGAGGCAGTCGGGCACATCCCCCATCCATCACGCCCCAGGGCACCTGAATAAACAGAAATACCCTGCAGACGCCGCTGCTACAGCCGGGGAGGATGGCGCCTTACCACCCGCCGCTTCCACAGCCCATGAGCAAAGTCCTGTAACAACACCCGTCCAGCCTCTCGATCCTTCACAGGATCCTTACGTACCCAGGATACCCGCCTCTCTTGGTTCTGTCAGCCCTACGCCACAGTCTGGATCTGGATCCTCGTCACCTCCTCGCACAATACTTTTAGTCAATGGGATATTTAGGTTTCGGGACGATGAGGTTCCAGACCCTCCGGCTTTGTCTTTTGGTCAAGATATGGAGACATTGACGAGCTGCTGGGACGACAAGACGGCAGCCTGGAGGGGAAGCTCGCCTCTGACTATACGAGGAACACCTATCCCGCTGGTGCACATGCCAGACGTGTATTCCCGTCATTATCGGAAACAGTGGCGAGTAACGAAGCAGCAGTGGGCTGAATGGAAGGTTCGACTTCTTGTTCTTGTTATGCGATCAATGACGACTTATTTATCTGGCACAGTATCTGGTCGAAGAATATACGGAGCTGGGTGATACGGAATTCTGGAACAAATACTCCCTCGGAGGACGACGACAGACTATATCCAGGATTTCCAAGCGTATCAAGCGCAACCGCTCACATGAGAACCGTGAACTCGCGGCAACAGCTCGTCTACGATATGGACCGCATTTCAAGGAACTATTTTCATATCGGAAGGATAAGGTCGATCACATAATGACCCGAGCTCCGGACATCGCTCGCAGGTACAAGGAGCTTAATGGATGGGAGGGAGAGAGGTATACATAGATTTGTATTCTTCGATGACCTTGTTCATCATGATCAGTAGTAGCCTTAGTTATACGTGCCTCTTCTAGTATGATGCGTCGCTCCCCGAGGTTGGACGGCCATGTAGGAAGGTAAACGAGGCGAATGCGAACACCCGCCGTAGAGGATCATGCTTGATTATGCATCAAATTGGATCGATGTAAAGATCAATATGTTTCTCAGGAAAGTTACTACCTAGTGGATATGTAATAAGGTATATCCATGGGTGGAATGATTATATGTGCGACATCTATTCGATATCGATGACATCCCGAGCGGCGAGAGGAAGGGGTTCCTGGACGCCGAACATCTTCTCCCGCAGTTCTTCCCTCCCCGGAGGCACGTAGACGAGACGGGGATCCGAATCTACGGTGATATTCTGCATCTTTGGGTCGGTCCATATCGTTATACCGTTCGGGATGAGGAGTCGCGATTTGAATTCGGCTATGGCATCTTCCATGGTGAAAAATCTTCCGATGGAGCCGGAAGGTACTGGCACATGCTTGGTGGCTACTTCCATCTCCTCCCTTGAGAGGGCATGGCTTAGCTGATTAGGAAAAAAAAGCAGACGGTACTCACTGGGAGGTAAATATCCCTACCCTTCTCCCGAACCACACGCCCCATATGGCAGGGACGCGTTCAAACAGGGCTGCCTTCACTTGCCTGTTGAAGTGGCGCAGGAGGGTGTTGGCTAGAGGGACAGGGTTATACTGCAGCACGCGCCAACGGCAGTTGATTCCCCCAACTTACCAGCCTCAGGCTTGGTCTGCTCGGAAAGGATTTCAATGTCGGTCAATATTGTCTCGAGCATCAGTCGATCGAGACCCCTGACACAGAAGGGATTGGTTACTAGGGTACAGGCATAGCGAACTGCAGCAACTTACTCTGCGCCCTTTGGATCAACAAGCATAGAAAGCTCCTCGGACATAGTCTTTAGTGTCGTGTTCGCTGTTGATGAATCATCAGAGATGAATATTTAAGCCTGATGTGTGATGATAGGACTTCACCGACAGTGGGACCCTTCCTTTCGGACAAGTGGGCCAAAGCTGTATTGAAACTCTCAATGAGACCGATATCTAGACTTGCCGCCATGGTGGTAAGGATGGAATCCGCAATTAGCCAGTGTGGGTAGGTTTTATACCTTTGTCCGGCCACGTGCATTAGGTCACAGGGGACTGCTTTGGGGACAATGCGCTCTATCTCGCGGACGAGCAGTCAGAAAGACCGATCATCTCCTCAAATGCGCAGGACGGTGGTAATAACTAGTCTGGACCGAATTATCATTGACCAATGACTGGATAACATATATACGCTGAAATCCCGTAAGATAAACACATGCCCTGTCTAAATGCTTCATGATAATCTCATACCTGTGCTCTCTCTGAGGCATCCGATACGTTTGTCGCTTAATATCCTTTTGGGGCTACGAGGTCAGGCCCGTTTGCGACTGTACGTCTCCGCTACCTAGCTGTAAGGCCGTGTCAATACGGCAGAGCGCCTTATCTCTCTGTCACCGACTTCAAATTTTGCTCACTATGCGCTCAGACTAGCCTGAGTGGTTGTTTGACTCGCTGACAATCTAAATTATGGCGAGAGAGAATCTCAACGGACCATACAAATAACTCTAGTTCGGTCAGACACTTGAGCGGGCTCACTATAGGGCGGGCAGATATTGCGTTGACCAGTCGACTCGGTTACTGGTACGGGTACGAGTGTGCATATGTGTACCAGACCGCTTTCTGAGTATCGGAAGCTACCTTACACTTGCGGGTTTTGCCGCCCGCTATCTTCGGCAAGATCGGTCAAGATCTGACCTTCCCTATATAAATATTAATGCTACGATACTTCCCACGGACAGACACTTTTGGCTTTATTTTAAACTCAGGGCGGCCGATAATGGAGCGTCAACTTCACCCTCCTACTGTATTAGTATCGATTGAGGTTACCGTACGATACCCGTCCATGTATCTGGACATGGAAAAGGGAGAACACCATCGTATCGTGAGGAAGGTTCCGGTGGATTAAATATGCATTACTGTTGCAAGAGACTGACAGCCGTTTGCACCTTGATGGGCCCACTTTTCAAAAATCATTTACGGTCGGACCACGTCGGACAAGCAATTGTAAGTCCCCGAGAGACGGAAAATCGGACCATCTGGACTTCCCTATCTTCTTCCGACATCCCTGGCACCCACTCCGACCCACTCCGACCCACTCCGACTATACGCGTTTTTCTGAATTGGTGATCTATTGATCTGCAAACGGCTGGAATAAGCTCCGAGACTGTCTTTCGACCTAGGCCTACTCCGAATATCCTTTATCCAAAGCTAGCGGGCTGGAATTCCCAACCATACTGGTCATCAGGGTTTGCGGGGCCTTTCCGTTCACCTCAACAATTCCCATAGATCTTCGAACGAGAGGTTCAACTAGCTTCAGTACTGGGAATTGATGAAACCGTTATGCGACTCGGCAATGATTTGGAGGTCCGAAGAATATCGAACGTTCTATCTTAGCATGCAGCAGCTTTGTAGCGATGCCGCCGATCAGTTGTCGAACCCGTGAGAGTCCTTCTGGTCAGAGGTTCTAAAGCATTCTTGGTCTCCCGGACTTCCCAGGGAGTTCCGACTCCATCAGACTTGGCTGCCCTTGCAGGGGTATCCATCAGTGGGTGATGACTATCGACTCGCAATTCGCGTATCATAAATGAGATCGCTGCCGCTTCAGGTCAACAAATTACTGGAGCTCCGACTATTCTCGGACGTCACTTCAGGTTGATCTGCAACGCCAGCAGTGCAACCGTGATGGTCAGGTGGTGAATCAAATTCGTCTGCCAGTGGTAACGTAGAGCATGTTGTTATAGGAACCATCTGTATGCCAGAACAGCAGATGGTGATTGAGGAACAGTAAGAAATGTTCGGGCGAGAGAATGTCCATTCCACAAGTCCCTGCTTTATGTTCGGTGGGCGTCACTTCCAAGGGAATGGAGCCACGGAGAAGTTCATCGCAGGTAAATTCCACCGCCTGTTGAAGGTATACTCGCATGACTGAGACTTGACAACAAAAAAAGTGACATTCCCACGCTGTAGGTTGGTATCGATGAGGCCAAGGGCCTGCCAAACCCTAACCTCGTCACCATGCCAGTATTATCATGCACCTGCCCCTAGTAGATTTGCGTGCGGGTTCCTGGCAGTCGCGCCAGGTTCTCGACCGCTAACAATCTTCAAGACCCACATCTATTGTCGTAATACTCAGGACAAAGCCATGCTTGAACAGGTCTCTTTCAAAAGACACTGTGGGTGCGTAGCTGTTTCGGAGCGTGTACAGGGCTATCTCAGTACGGATGATAAATGATGACGACCGTGCTCGGCCAGGATTCAACTAATAGGATACAAGAATAAGTATGATAGCGCTAGAAGAGTGGTCATATCAGACCCACCGTGTATCGCGAGTTGTCCCTCCCTCCGAAAGTGAGATATCCTCTCTGTCAAACTTCACGCGAACAGGAGATGGATCTTCGGGTGCTTCCTCGTGACCAGCTCCTTTTTGGGATGGATCGGGCGAGCTCTGGGCGGGTCCAAGTTCCACAGAACGATCGAGGGTGGAGAGGGCATAAGAGATCTCGCCGGACATGTGTATATGGTCAGTGGAGCTACCGCGTATTGCTCTCCGGCCGTTGAGATTTGCGAGAAGCGAGTTAATATAAGCTATCAATTGTCATGCTTTCAGTAATCGGTGGTAAAGAGTCCCGCGAGATACTTACTGCCTCCGATGATGAAGTAAAAGCAGATATATATATAGTGGTCTTGCAGCGTTATAACCTGTCCAATTGGGTTGTAATTGGGACGGGTCTTGTACCGACTAAGTAAAGGGCACCCACGAAGATGAGCGACATAATAGAGCATCCGCTGGCGAAGTTCTTTGATTAATGATGTATCCAGGAGTTCAATAGAAGATACACACCTAGTTGTAAGACCGGTGTTCACGCAGTACGCTACCTAGAGGAGATGTTCATACACAGATGTGCCTAGATGTACAATACTGACCAAGGTATGGATCATAGTGTGCGTCGTGCGGGAACTAAAATGTGGGAGTCAGTACACCCGATAACCTATAGAGTCTCAAGATACTAACCCATGCTTCCCGGGCTTCTTTCGAAGCAACGTAATGGAGAGGGATGCTGCCACAGCGATATCTGTGGCTGCATATAACGCGTTGAATGCGATCGAGAGTGTCTATCTTCCTAAGCTAAGCGCCAAATTTCAAGACTGGACAGACTAACCTTCAAGCTATCAAGATCGGAGAGGTACTGGAGGGATAGACTTAAATCCATTGGTCAATTCGCTTTTTAAAGTTGAATTGCGGCAAGATAGGCGCACGCTTTCACGGCATACACTATACAAGACACAGGTCAGGAGGATAAAGAATGGTATTTAGGAAGGAATGTTACCAAAGGTTGTACCTGTGAGCCGCTCACGATGAGAGACCGAAATGTTTCAGAGCAGAAAAACTATACCGAAGGCGGACAGTGGCAACAAACTCTTGAGGGGAAGTCAGCGATGAGAAAGGAAATATAACCTAGGCGTCCTCACCAAGGCCGCGGCCAGGTAATTATTTCGGCTCACTGAGGATGACATGCTGAGCCCCTCGAGTAGCAGCAATAAGTAGCTTTCCACTCACTACGCCAGATCCGCACGCCAAAGAATCTGCGTAGAACAAGACGTCCAGTATCAGCAATAAAGAGGGGCGGAACACGTACAGTTGGACCACTAGAGCTGTTACGGCCTGGTAATAAGTAGTACACGCCTCCCGAAATACCGTCGGAAGCCACAACTGTGAGACTTACATTACAAAATGCTTGTCCCTGCGTTGCCATGCGTCAACCCAACCCAGTAACGTGCTCAGAAGTATCCTTACGATAACGCTCCTGAAGGGAAGATCAGGTCCGGTAAATGGCCATAAGGCGCCATCATATCCACTTACCAAACGAGTCGCTCAGCGGTCTCCAAGGAAAGTCTGGACAAGATGAGGTAGACGTATACTGAAGTCCGATCAGCGTCCATGCAGCAATGACGGGCGGAGATGGATACTGGCCACTATGCATAACCATGATCTGGTGCGCGATGTACGAGGTGAAGGTGACAAATACCTGTTGAGACAATTAATCATAACATTAACCGATTGCCACTTATCGTGAAAGGCTTACAAACGACTTCAACTCCCATCTGTCTTTCGGATAGTTTCTGACATACAGTATAATTTGTATAAATGATGCTTGTGTGACGACGTTCAGATAGAAATTTAAGGGGGATATAAATAAGAGAACCTCCGAACAGTCTGTTCAAACCCAGTCAGGCAAATTCCATGGGACGGGTATAACGAGACCTTACATAGCGGAGAAAATGGCGGCTATCAGCCATGCTGGAAACCTGCAGCCGCGAGTTACGGTCGACGTTCCAGAGGAAGTTGGAATGCAAGACGAACGCATATTTCCTTAAGTTGAGTGGAGTACTGCCTTGGTCCGAGTCCATGGAAGGAATTGAGCGAATCCAAGTAAAGAGCGTGGAGGCGACAGGCAGATTCTCGTTGGAAGAGGGTCGCCAACCAGTTGCTGCTTTGAACGAGGTGGTTCTGGGGCGAGCGAGTAAGCCGCCTACTCGCGGAAGTCACGTTGGGTGTGATGATATACATGGAAGGTCTCCTTGACCCTGGGCGCCACACGGGGCGGTCCCCGAGAATCACTTAGTTCAGACCTTGAGCGTATCTACCGCCTAGACCAGGGGAGAAATCTCGATACGGTAGCTGTCCCCCATAAATCTACATATTCCCATGATGACAAAATAGTCGGAGCGGGAATGAAAGGCGGCCAGGTGCTGAGACAAGAGCGGAAAGTACGTGACACATAAAGTACGGGGGAATCAGTAGGTGACGCCTCCTGTTGAGCATTTATAAGTCTTTGCTTGCATTCATTTGACGACCAAAGCGGCCGGTGAAGAATATATCCACCGCTGGAAAATGAAAGCGAGGGGCCACACACAGGAATGAGAACAACTCAAGCACAGCAGGCCTCACATACCAATGGCACTTGGTACACCGTGCTCTCACAGACTCTACCACACCTTATAGCAGAACATCGTTCACTGCCGGTTGGATCTACGAAAGTTAGAGCGGCGCATCGAGCAGATTACTCTTGTTACTGACACCTGCCGACCCTTCGGGTGCGGTGTCGGCGGTGAACACGTAGAGAAGGCGAGTAGAAGCGATATATCCATCCACGGAAGGTGCCTGAGACGTCTTCATCAAGTATAGCATATTCGGCAGCGCTGCAAATATTGCATTAGGCCTAGCGTAAGAGAACGCATTCATGGCCGCAGAAGATCTGAGAATGACGCGGCAGAGGTTATTTGCAGGATGTTAGGAACATCGCAGCGCGGAACTCCCAGTTCTATCTCATCAGAGTAGTTAACACAGCGGTTTAGTGATGGTAGGTCTTCATGCCCTTGTCAGTGGCCGTGTTCCTGTAGCCAGATAATTTGAAGAAAATGGCCTATTAACCCGATCAGCTCAGGAAATCGAAGAACGGTCAGTTGTAAAACCGAGATAGAAGATCGAAACAAAGTTCACCGTCACACATCATGGGATTTCCCGTATGATAGCCGTTCACGCACAGTCAACCTTCCCGTGAATATAAGCACGGAGGCTATCAACGCATTCACAGCTAGAGGGGCTGACACAACGTGCACCGACGTGATAACATAGACAGCCGCATGGAATGTCTGTCCGGGCAGAACGCGTACTCGGTACCGGACAGTCCGCGGACCTTCTGCAGAATTTCTGACGGCCATTGTAGCGGAATAACTCTCCGTCTGCGAAAGGAAAGCGAGTGATCAAAAATGTGGCACAAATAGTGTGGGAATGCACCGGCGCTCGACACATGTCAGCGGTACCGCGCATCACAGAAATTCGTGCGAACCGCAGTATCAGGACTCAGACTTGCCGCCGTTTTCCGTGCGGTACGGCAAGGACAAACCTTTTCATCCTTAACTCGTAAATTTCTCGGCCTCTCATCGCATGCATCTAGCAATGGTCGTGAGTCCCAGTTACCAATTCAGACTGGGCGTATAATGGTGGAACAAACGGGTATCCTCACATAACCCACCTACCAGAGTTTGATCGAGCTGAGCGCTTCATGTCTCTCCCGAGTCTCTCCGATGACGCCAGGGTTGATGACGTAGTGGGGAGGCGCAATCCCTGCAGACGCGTTACGGTGCTTGCACGTGTTTGTTTCGAGTGGCGGTGGCTGAAAAAGTGGTTGACCTGAAGGTTGGCTAACTGGATGCGTAGAATACACCATGTAGTCGTGGTTTAGAACATTTAGGCCTCACAGATTTTCCGCATTCAACCTAGTTGCTGAGATATGCAACATCAGCCCATTTACACATGTACTTTCAATGGCATATCTCCATGGGTTCATCAATAATCAAAATTCTGTGTGGCCATATAAAAGATATTACATATCTGAGCAACTTTTTTGAGCTATTCCTGGCGCGAACGATTGCTCGAGAGAATGGCCGAATTGTAGAATTGGGCACACTTATTGCGATCTCTCCCATGTCCCACGGTCCAGACAGAGGCAGTAGTGACCCGTGACGAGTAGCATGATCCGCTGGGATACGTGAATGCAAGACGAATATGTGGCGAGGCCGCTCTCCGAGCGCGCGCGCTGTTCCAATGATTGTTGATTGGAAGCTTCCCAGGAAGTGGTCCAGTAGCAAATATGCTGGTAATGACTGGAATGCGCTTGACAACCCCAGATGGCAGTCGCTGATCGCAAGCATCGGGATAAGCTCTGTCCTCATGTGAAGCGTATTCAGTGATGAGAATTGAGTGGCCGACATATCTCGAAATACAATGACTAATCAGAATACTGCGATAAATCAACATCTCAATGTCCAGCGGTGCAAGACCAGTCCAGACACGAGAAACACTATTCTGAATGCCACGGCCATCTGAAACAGCATAAGCTTGATGTACACGCTTTAGTATTGGAGAACCCCACCGAAGATGGACATCTTGAAAGCCCCGTGCGGTAGAATCAACTGACCCCGAAGCGTCAGCCCTGAAGGTCGAACTCTGGTATGGGATTTGATGCTTCCGCTGCTTCCCATGGACCATGACGGGAATGCCCCGACTCCGTAGATCCTGTCATAAAATTGATGGTGAGCGACCGATGCGAGTAGAATATACAAGAGAAACACCTTGGTAAGAGATGTAGAGGGCTGCAAACGGGGGAAACGGGATGAGAACACTCCGAATATACCTCCGTAGCACTCGGCAAGTACTGGGGTCTCTCCCTGCCCGCTGGCCTTTGATGATAGATCGAAGCATCGGTACCTCAGTATAAACTTCCCTTCCCTCTTCACAGATAGGTCCTGTAACAACGGGTCAGCTAAGCTCGCCTATCGAGTCTTCAAAACATTAGCCCAATGTCAAACACATAGAAGGTAAACATGAAAGGAGAAGTCGACGGACACAGAAGACGAACATCAACGACCTTTCGCCCATGCGGACGATCTCCACTGCTTCGGCAAACCTTGAACCGAAGAGTTCGAATGTGCATTGAGCGCTGTCTCGGACGACATACTTTCCTACATACGCGAGGATGTCGGAGTCGTCATCGAGGGCGGGATATGAATATGGCACGGAGGGCAACGACCTCTGGTCCCGGGAGTGGGACTCGGGGGTTGAGTACCGCACACTTGATACCGGCAGATGAGTGCCATGTGGGTGAATGCTGTCTGGTGACCAGGCGTCTGGATCTTCAACTCTTGAATGGGTGTTTTGCGTATTGCTCGGAGGGGACAGCGGCGGAATCGAAGCTTGTGGTGAAACCTGAGTGGGAATTTGGATGCTATCTCCGGAGAGCATCCTGTCGGCTTCAGAGGCATGTTCCGTGTCAAACACTTGGAACAAATCGACGTAGCACAGCAGTCCCATACTGTTGACTTCTCTGAGTAAGGTGTCAACTGACGTCGTACTTGAGGTCTCTCAAGGTATGTGACTCACTGGTAATGAGATATTTCCTCCTCCCGATTGGAAAAGATGCCACTGGACACGCATAAGAGTCTTAGCTGCGCTACTGGAGGAGGGTCCAGGGGACGTCGGTCTTTCGTCATATACCTAGAAGGGCTCAAATTAGCACATACGAGTGGCCTGGATAATAATGAACTCCTACTTCCGACCTATATGAGCTTGTTGTACTTCACGCAGCTCCCCGCGCAGTGTCCTGCCGGCGAACTGGCCCTGTATGAGCTGCACTGGATGACCGATGGCAGCGGCACTCGTGTCCCTCAGTGCCAACATCTGCAGGTCGGGAAAGCGGAGACACTACGGTTGCAGCCAGATATATGGAAATTGTCAGCTTTTTGACGCGAGCGAGGCTCCTCTGCAAGAGCAAAGAAACATAAAGAATGAAGAAATAAGGGTCCGAGGATCAGATGGACGAAAACCGGGATTCTAGCTAAATTTGTGTTTTCAAATAGATACCGGCAAGCTAATCGGTTGGTTCGCAGATTGGATCCGCGTTCACTCTCTTAAAAGATCAGAATTAGTACTTGGCAAACTTTCCCAGTGGCTTGGCCTGGTGGCTAGAACTTCAGGTTTGTGTACAGAGGGTTTCCGGTCCTGCAACGAGCTTCCGTCTGGAACGCCTACATATCACAACGAGGTATTGCCACACAGCTTATGGAATGTATAGCAAAGCGGTAGAGTATGTACCGCACAGAAACTTTGGGTGGATTGCCCGCACTATGTACGTGATCCAAAGTCGGAGGTGCGCACCTCGAATGCGACAACAGCCCTTTGCAAACCAAGCAATGGAACTAGGAATAGCCAACTGCGACATCAATGAAATCTACGGCCGACGACCAAAAGACACCACCTTCACCGCACCAGAATTGAATACCTCCCAAAAGTAGGCCTCGCCCTCCTGCAGGTTACGAAAAGACTTTCCGCATGCGCCCGATATTCTGCCTATCACTGCTTTCGTTTGTAACCTGTACCCCTCCTCATCAGAAGCGCGAAACCAGCCGGCAAAGACGACCACTGACCAACTGTCGAAGATGCCGACCTGACGACCACAGGTGACCACATACCAGCGGGGAGCAGTGGACTGCAACTTAGGGAAGTGTATGGGAATTAAATTGCTGCCATGTCGCACTAGTACCGTTCCTTCCAAGACACCAGCAAGCCTGGGGTATGAGCCAGCCACTCTGTGTGTTATGGTAGTGACATCGGTTGACAACATATCGCTGGCTGTCGACAAGGGGTGTGATGCGGGTGCCTGGGCGGGAGGCTGAGTCTGGGATACGACCCTAGCGTGTCGTGCAGCAGAGCTTGGATACTCGTCATCGAGGTATGGAGGAGGAGGATTACTGCCGCTATCGTCGTCTTCATATTCCTCTTCCGTAGTCTCTGAGTCACACGATATGTCCACAACCATCAGCGCTGGAAAGGAATTAGTTAGGACCATCGGAGACACACGGGAGACGAACTATCGGGCTCTTCCCTACTCTGAGTAATGGGTGGCGTGGCCGGCTCGACCTCAGGCTGTTGTTCAGCCACCTCCCAGCATATTCTCATCGTCACCACAAAGAGGGCTTCGACGACGACGGAGGACAGCTTGAATAGTGCCATAATCAACTTGATGAGAGCGACTACTACGCTGATTAAAAGGTCAACGACGAGGTGACTATGGCCTGGGTTGTCATAGTCGGTAGGTCGAGCTGTACGATACTGTCGACGGTCCATCAGCGGTGGGAGCGACGAGCAGATAGAGTGCAGCAGGAGAAAGAGGGCGGGGTAGTTGCGAGTGAAGGCTTAGTAGTCAAACTTACCTTGATGGAGCAATAATGCGCCTGGGAATCGAATCAGCGGGAGTACAGCCTATTCGGAATGGATCAGGGCCGTCAGTCAGGAAGCTGGAAACATCTCAGAATATAGTTTACAGGGAACTTCCTCCCTTGTCTAGGCCATGGATAAGTTGCCAAGGGCTAGTTCATACAATGGCGACGTGGTTTGATGACTGAGGGACGAAAGTGGCTATCAGTAACTCAGGAGGGCGCGCGACACGGGGAGCATTAGATAAGCGGCTGCCCGATGCATATACCCGCCACCGACGGTTGGGACGATTTGATTGCAGAATGCACCGGTCCAACGGCAAACACTGAGGGAATGCCGGTGAAACAGTTTCTCCTTGAAGACCCACCAGAGTGCCACACCTCCCTGTCTCGGTGAGCGAAAACAAGCTTGGTAATAGATGCCAAACACTGGTATCCGCTCAAAAACTGCGGGACCCGGAGCCTGACATCAGGGAAGACGGGCCTCTGTACGATCGTGCTAGAAGATTGGCCTGAGTGATTGGAAAATTCGGAAAAGGAAGCATACCACGCAAGGGCGGGGTGGAGTTTCTACAATCGAATACAGTCTGTCGAGAACAAGATTTCTCGGCGAACGGGAAGTTCGAAGCTGCTCTGCACTTCATAGCCTACTATACATAGACAGACGGACATCATAGAGGGAAACAGAATATACTTGTGACTAAACCGACCGAAGACCATGGAGGAAAGGGCACAGGATGCATTGTGTCCCCGGTCTCTACCAGAATATGGCCATCAGCGTAATCGACCGAAATCATGTCCAGCCACTCACGAAATTTATTTGTAAGTCAAGAAGTAGGCCGAAAGCGTTGGGAGATCATTGGCTCCAGCGTGCGAGTAGCCTTGCCGACGGGAGCCATTAAACTTCAAGACTACAGCCGGGCCAAACCATGGTTTTGCCGCCGCTTCCGAGGTTATCCTCTGGATCGCCCTATTAACATTTGCCCTGCATAACAAAGACGACTGGCTGTAGAAGAGGTGCAGCGGGAACCTTAAGTGTTCATTGTTCAAGCCCTGCGTAAGCACAACACTGCCGATTTGGTCGTCCGGAAAGAAGGTTTGCACCAATGGTGTTGGGCACAACCCGTTCGTGGGCTCCGGCTGGGGCGTACATTGCACAGTGACAAGACGCGGATTTTCTGCACATGGACAGTCATTAGTACTTCCGTAATATTCACAACAAGTAACATATCTTGAGCTTACCCTCCTCGGGGCTAAAAAGTAGCGCGAGGACAGATACCAACGGTTGTTGATACACCGGGGGTGTCGCGATCTGCTTGTGGTTGGGGGGCTCGCTGTGCGCATGAACACATTCAACCTTATGCCTTGGCCAATCCTAAGCACGACTTTAGCGCAGGGCAGTGCCAGCTACTCCAACAAGCACCTACACTCAGCTGGTGCTCCGGCGAACAATAGTAAACTCGTTCACATCGGCCACAATACAGGTTGGTGGGGTAGTAGCAAATAGTGCAAAGGTGGTTGATAGTGCTCATGGGGGTCTTGTTGCCCTAAGAGTCGAGCGCGTGCGAGGTGAAACGGGAGCATTCTTTACCTTTAATACTCGTGCGCATGTAGCGCCGATCGGATATGCTCTTGAGCGACGTTTTTGCCACGAGAGGTGTGCGAATACGCACCGATGTGAAATTAGCCAAACGATTCCGAATCCGGTCGGATTCAGATGCATGGACCGGAGAAAGGATCGCAATCTATGCTTGCCGAGATCCAGCGGCTGTAAATTGCGACTTCTTCCAAACCCCGCACAAGGAACGTATCTACCCTGACGTCGGATCAGGAAGCTGCGACATAATCCCGCCGGGGCGTGACACAGCCCGCGGACGCGGTACTCCCAGCAGCTGTCGGCAGGCTGGTTGATATTGTGCCGAAGTCGGACGGTGGTACTCTTACCAAATAGACACGAGGGATGGTACGTATTCTTCTATGCAGACCAGCTCGAGGGAGGTGGAGCATTTGAACACCTTACTGCGGCGCCAAATGCTATTCCGGCGAGGCCACTCTGTTAGTGTAGCACCAAGCAAAGGATCAAAGACGCTCGGAGCAAGTCGGTGGCCTTTCCTGCATCCAAGAGCATTCGGCGTATGGACTGAGACAGTTTGCGAAGCTGAGTAGATAAGCCCTCCAATTAAGAATCGGACTGCAAGGTTCAAGCAGAACCGTGCCGTGGATCACGTGCCAAAGAAAGTATTAGTCTCGCTGGTACGGTCTATGGATTGCAGCGGCGCAAGCGGATCGACTACTCCACTGACCAGAAGGTTACTACATACGACACTAAGAATGCGACCTATTATATAGTCGTTGCACCGTTATACCTCAAGGAATGCAACGAGCCTCTAACTGAGAACAGTGCGATTCGTGCGCTTACGTGGCTCACGACAGACTTAGATTCTCACGGATAGAGTGCAGTGATTCGACGAACTCGCCTCCCAAGGGAGTCGGGGACCATTCATTTAGCATTCCGGTGCTCGATGTTCGAGGGATCTTTCCGATACACGCAATGCTGGCCCAGCAGCAGTCAGTCATGCAGACAGTGCGGCGAGATGGGTGCATTCGACAAGGTATCTGGTATTCCACACTCTACGTCGTTATCTACATTACCGTTCTTTCAGTGGGAGCGGGACAGGACTCAGAATAAAA